TGGAACCCGAACTGCTTCGGGCTGAGATCGGGACCTACCTGAGACAGGTGTTGGACGAGTCGGCCCGCCAAGATTCTCTCGAAGAGCTTGCCGATCTCGTCCAACAGCACTATGGGGCGGAACGCCGAGGGAACCACCGAACCTGCGGGGGAACCTAACCTTTTTTTTTTTTTTTTTTTAACGTGTGGAAAAATCTTCAAAAGACCGTCACCCCGCCGGAGGGATGGCGAGGTGGTGTGTGGGTCTTGTACCCACTAAAAAACCACACGGTGTACCTACGAGCGCCTATGCCGGAGCCAGGGGATCGCAGGTGCATTCTACCCCAGCTCCGACGGCGACGGCCCGCCCTGTAGATGTTGTAGGGCAGGCCCCATCTCGTTTTGTGGTTAGGGCGACCTATTTCGCCCTACTCCATTGTGGAGGCGTGTGGGTACACGCGCACACCTCCGGTGCCTTTGGATTGGGGGAACTGCCTCCCTCAAGGCAGTCACCCCGGCCCCAGTGGGGGATAGAGGGGGCGGAGTTGGATACGCTCCCACCTCTAGGCCTGGCTCTTCTGCGGCGGAGGGAAGCGGGACGAGCTGACTCCCGCTCCCTTTCCGCCGCCTCCTTCCGCGAGATAACTTCCTCGCAGAAGGAGCTCACCGCCAGCCACGATCTCTCGCTACTGACCATCCTCCGAACTAAATTCGGCAGCGAGAGATCGTCCCCCACTATTCGTGTGAGGACACGGCGCTCACTCTCGAACGCTGGACATCTTCGTCCAGCGTGTGTTGCGCCGTGTCCTCAACACCTCCGCACTCGTGGCAGCCGGTCGTCGGCTCCTTCCTCGCCACATGACACAGATACCGCCCGAAGCATCCGTGCCCGGACAGTATCTGCGTCATGCGGTACGTCAGTGGCCATCTCCTATTCATCCACCGTTTGAGGATGGGACGGACAGCCTCGACGGTCCTCAGGCCGGCCGACGGGCTCATCAATCTAGCCCGCCATTCGATCCTGAGGATCCGCCGAAAGTCGGACCTCCGCGCTTCGATCTCGTGACCAGCGAGTGCCTCCCCCATGGAACGTCGCTCCGCGCGCCAGTGGTACACTGACGCGTGGAGCTCCGCTACCAAGTCCCACGGAGGAGACCCCGCCAGCAGACCCGCCGCTTCCCCGGATATGGTGCGGTAGCCTCTAATGGCCCTGATGGCCATGGCCCTGTGTGGCCTGTTAAGACAGGCCACATTTTCCCTACCTAGGGCCCCCACCCAGATGGGGGCCCCGTACAGGGCCATGGACCGCACCACGCCGAGGTATAGGCGGCGGGAACCTTCTCCCGGGCCCCTCACGTTTGGCAGCAGCCAGCTAAGAGCGCCGGCGGCTGCCATAAGGCGAGGGACCAGGTTCCGGAAATGAGCGCGGAAGCTCCAACGACTGTCCAGGTCAAGCCCCAAATACCTAATACAGGGCTTGACCCCCACCCTCTGGCCACTGACGACCAGCTGGGCATCCGGAGGTGGCGCGCGCCGAGGTCCATGAAAACATAGGACCTCGGTCTTCTCCAGCGCCACCTGGAGCCCAAGCCTCCTTATTCGGCCGACGACCAGCGCCACGCTTGCCGTGGCAAAGCGGGTAGCCTCCCGTAGGTCCCGCCCCCGGGCAGTGACCAAGGTGTCATCCGCGTAACACACGAGGTCAGTGCCCGTTAAAAGGGCGCCCCGCAGGTTCCAATCATACCCGATGTTCCACAGGATCGGGCCCAGAACCGACCCCTGTGGAACACCGCGTTCCATTTCCCTCGGCACTACAACGCCGTTCCGCCCCGTGCATAGCACAGACCTGTCTTCGAGATAGGCCCCGATCACGTCCCGAATGTAGGGAGGCGCGCGATGGTACTTCAGCGCCTCCCTAATAGTCGCAAAGGGCAGGGTGTTGAAGGCGTTCTTAATGTCTAGAGAGACCGCCAACAACACCCCACCCTGGGACGTCGCCTCTTCCGAGAGGGAGCGCACACGCGAGATCGCGTCAATCGTTGAGCGCCCCTCTCGGAACCCGAACTGCTTCGGGCTGAGATCGGGACCTACCTGAGACAGGTGTTGGACGAGTCGGCCCGCCAAGATTCTCTCGAAGAGCTTGCCGATCTCGTCCAACAGCACTATGGGGCGGAACGCCGAGGGAACCACCGAACCTGCGGGGGAACCTAACCTTTTTTTTTTTTTTTTTTTAACGTGTGGAAAAATCTTCAAAAGACCGTCACCCCGCCGGAGGGATGGCGAGGTGGTGTGTGGGTCTTGTACCCACTAAAAAACCACACGGTGTACCTACGAGCGCCTATGCCGGAGCCAGGGGATCGCAGGTGCATTCTACCCCAGCTCCGACGGCGACGGCCCGCCCTGTAGATGTTGTAGGGCAGGCCCCATCTCGTTTTGTGGTTAGGGCGACCTATTTCGCCCTACTCCATTGTGGAGGCGTGTGGGTACACGCGCACACCTCCGGCGCCTTTGGATTGGGGGAACTGCCTCCCTCAAGGCAGTCACCCCGGCCCCAGTGGGGGATAGAGGGGGGCGGAGTTGGATACGCTCCCACCTCTAGGCCTGGCTCTTCTGCGGCGGAGGGAAGCGGGACGAGCTGACTCCCGCTCCCTTTCCGCCGCCTCCTTCCGCGAGATAACTTCCTCGCAGAAGGAGCTCACCGCCAGCCACGATCTCTCGCTACTGACCATCCTCCGAACTAAATTCGGCAGCGAGAGATCGTCCCCCACTATTCGTGTGAGGACACGGCGCTCACTCTCGAACGCTGGACATTCGTCCAGCGTGTGTTGCGCCGTGTCCTCAACACCTCCGCACTCGTGGCAGCCGGTCGTCGGCTCCTTCCTCGCCACATGACACAGATACCGCCCGAAGCATCCGTGCCCGGACAGTATCTGCGTCATGCGGTACGTCAGTGGCCATCTCCTATTCATCCACCGTTTGAGGATGGGACGGACAGCCTCGACGGTCCTCAGGCCGGCCGACGGGCTCATCAATCTAGCCCGCCATTCGATCCTGAGGATCCGCCGAAAGTCGGACCTCCGCGCTTCGATCTCGTGACCAGCGAGTGCCTCCCCCATGGAACGTCGCTCCGCGCGCCAGTGGTACACTGACGCGTGGAGCTCCGCTACCAAGTCCCACGGAGGAGACCCCGCCAGCAGACCCGCCGCTTCCCCGGATATGGTGCGGTAGCCTCTAATGGCCCTGATGGCCATGGCCCTGTGTGGCCTGTTAAGACAGGCCACATTTTCCCTACCTAGGGCCCCCACCCAGATGGGGGCCCCGTACAGGGCCATGGACCGCACCACGCCGAGGTATAGGCGGCGGGAACCTTCTCCCGGGCCCCTCACGTTTGGCAGCAGCCAGCTAAGAGCGCCGGCGGCTGCCATAAGGCGAGGGACCAGGTTCCGGAAATGAGCGCGGAAGCTCCAACGGCTGTCCAGGTCAAGCCCCAAATACCTAATACAGGGCTTGACCCCCACCCTCTGGCCACTGACGACCAGCTGGGCATCCGGAGGTGGCGCGCGCCGAGGCCCATGAAAACATAGGACCTCGGTCTTCTCCAGCGCCACCTGGAGCCCAAGCCTCCTTATTCGGCCGACGACCAGTGCCACGCTTGCCGTGGCAAAGCGGGTAGCCTCCCGTAGGTCCCGCCCCCGGGCAGTGACCAAGGTGTCATCCGCGTAACACACGAGGTCAGTGCCCGTTAAAAGGGCGCCCCGCAGGTTCCAATCATACCCGATGTTCCACAGGATCGGGCCCAGAACCGACCCCTGTGGAACACCGCGTTCCATTTCCCTCGGCACTACAACGCCGTTCCGCCCCGTGCATAGCACAGACCTGTCTTCGAGATAGGCCCCGATCACGTCCCGAATGTAGGGAGGCGCGCGATGGTACTTCAGCGCCTCCCTAATAGTCGCAAAGGGCAGGGTGTTGAAGGCGTTCTTAATGTCTAGAGAGACCGCCAACAACACCCCACCCTGGGACGTCGCCTCTTCCGAGAGGGAGCGCACACGCGAGATCGCGTCTATCGTCGAGCGCCCCTCTCGGAACCCGAACTGCTTCGGGCTGAGATCGGGACCTACCTGAGACAGGTGTTGGACGAGTCGGCCCGCCAAGATTCTCTCGAAGAGCTTGCCGATCTCGTCCAACAGCACTATGGGGCGGAACGCCGAGGGAACCACCGAACCTGCAGGGTGCTCCGCTTTGCGGAGCAGGACCACTCTACCCGCTTTCCACTGGTTGGGAAACCGTCCCGACTCCAGACACGCATTGAACAAGCGCCGGAGTCGGTCCCCTAGGGTGTTTAGGGCCAAGGCCAGGACGCGGCCGTGGATACCATCCGGACCCGGGGCGACGTTCTTGCCCCGGAGTTTATCCACGGCCGCGGCGAACTCCTCCTCGGTGATGGCAGGAACCGCAGCAGCGCTGACGCCGCTGGCCTCTTCATCACTGCCACGCGGCATCATCGGAGGAGGCGTGAAGGGAGGCTGTCTCGGGAACAGCTCCTCCAACACCCCCTCCAGCTGCTGCGGCTGGAGACCCTCTGCCACGGGGGGCGCCCAGGGGCGTAACTTGCCCCTGACGAACCTATAAGGGCGCCCCCATGGATCGCCGAGGGAAAACCTTTTTTTTTTTTTTTTTACAAGGGGAAATCCGTCATGGAGACCCGCACCGGGGTAAGCGTGGGGTACTGCCGGACTCCTACCGGCTAAAACCCCTTGGTGTCCTCCGAGCGCTTTGGTGCCGGGGTTACGGGATCAAATGATATTCAACCGTAAACCCCGGCAGCGCGGGCTCTTCAGCCCAACTCCTGAGTGGCACGCGCGGACACCACGCGTGCCTACTCCTGGCCTCATACCTCCTTAGGTGACAGCTGACGCCCCCGCATCAGCTGCCGCGAGGCCCGTGGTGGGAGGTGACGGACGGGACTCGGCCTCCATCCCCACCACTCCCGCCACTTTCGGCAGGCGACACCCTTTGGTGCTACCCATACGGTGGTCCGCCTTTTTCTTCGCCGCCGCGCAATAAGGGCAGTGCGGCGAGGGGGCGGTGCACGATGCGGCCTTGTGGCCGTCTTGTCCGCAACGGAAGCAAGTCCGCCGCGGTCCTCCTTGGCGGTGCACCGCTGGCCCACATGACCTGTGAGCAGGCAGCGGTAGCACCGCATCGGCCGGGGTCCAAAGACCGCACCCGTGCCATCGTCCACCCCACTCGAACTTTGCCGGCATCTACCAACCGCTTCACTGCTCCGATTGGGCCTCGGACCCAGACGGAGCCACTCCCGGAGGGAGAGCGCCGGATTTCCCCCGTTTTTACGGAGGCCTCGGCGCAGTCTCCCTCACGCGCTACGGCTGCCACCACGTCTGCTACTGTTGTGGCATCGTCCAGGTCCAAGACGCGGAACTCCGCGGACTTGACCGGCCTGGTGACGCTGACCACCTCTGCCGGGAGCACCTCCGACAGTTTTGCGGCGAGGGCGTCCGCCTTCCCACCACTTTCCTCCACTGGTCCCTTCACTTCAAGGATGCGGGACCCCGTAATGCCCAGCCTGAAGCCAAGTTCGGTGATTCCGAGGGCATCCAACCTGATGTTCTGTTGGGCCTCTCGGAGCACCGACTTATAGCTGGATCCCGCCTCCACAGCTCCCGGCTTTAGCGTTAGCACTATCGCCGATGAGCGCGGTTGGCGGAATTGTCTTCTCCGTGCGTTTTCTCCCCTCTTGGCCTGATTCCGGGCCACGTTCGGAGCCTCCTTTTGAGCGGCACCTCCTGAAGACGCCTGTGTGGGTGGGGCCGACGTCTGGTCCTTTCCGGACTTGGCGCGTTTTCCCCGACGAACAACAGTCGTCCACTGCTCTTTAGCAGGCGGAGGCTGAGAAGCGCTCACCCCCGCTCCACTAGTGCTGGCTACAGGAGCCGCATTTCCTCCTCTCGTGGCCGGCCCAGGTGTTCGGGGTGCGGCCGCGGTTCGTTTAGGCGGCGAGTTCTTCGGCCTGCCCACTAGCTCCTCAATTCTCTCAAATCGGGCATTGAAAATGTCCCCGATTTGACGGACGATGCGTGCCTCAACGCCCACGGTGATTACCGGCTCAGCACCCTGAGCGTCAGTGGCCATGTCCATGGTCGCACTCTCCGGCAGTTTTGCCAGTGCGACTTTGGCCTCCGCCAACTCCGTTTGCACCGTAGTGAGCAGTAGGCGGTCCTCCGTACTCCTCTTCAGTAACTCCTGGTAGGAGTTACGGGTCGCGGAGATCTCCCGCTCCCATTCTGCCCTCTCCGCCTTGAGCACCGCCAATTGATCCATGCTCTGGCCGGCGGACCCCATTGTCTTCTTCTTCAGGTCCCTCAACTCTACGTAGTACTTGGCGGACTCCTCCCTAATGGCGGTCATCATTTCCCGCATGTCCGCCAAGTCTCGCGACAACCTGGAATTCTCCCGGCGAAGCGCTGCGCATTCGGTAGACGACGTCCTACCCTCTAGTGACTCAGACGCCGCGCGGATGGTAGCGACGGCGTCCTTGATGTCCTTCACGATTGTGCCCTTCAGGTGGCCGGACTTCTTCACGGCATCGAGGACCTTCAGGGCACATTCCTGGATGTCCGAAACCAGGACGTCGGAGCGCTTCGCATCCTCATCTGAGGGTCTGCGGGTGGTAGGGCGCTTCGCCGGTTTCGGAGCAGCCGCTTTTACTGCGGCTGCCGCCTCCATCTCCATGTCTTTCTGGGTAGCGGCGGCCAATTCGGCCTTCGCCTGCGCCAGATCAGGGTCATCCCCCCTCGTCACCTTCTTTATTGGCCCGGTATTACTACCACCCACTTTTGTAACGGGCGCCTTCTTTGCCGCAGATGGTGTTGCGGGCTTCTGCACCGGTGTTTTAAACACGATTTCTGGTGCGTCATCGTCCGGTTTGGTCTTTTCCACGATCCGCCTCTTGCGTTGGGATCGCCGTTGCGGCAAAGATGTTGATGTGCCGGCAACGTCACTTCCTGCTTCCGAATCCAAGGAGAGACTTGATCCCGAGAAGTCGGAATCCAAGCCCTCCATTGCTTCCGCCTCCATCTCATCCAGCAGCCTCTCCACAAACTCCCTCCTCGCTGCATCTACCTCCTCCTCATCCTCCCACTCATGGCCTAACTTGTCCCCCCCAGAATACTTGGGACAGCCCACCCCCGGCGAGTCCGGTGCGGTGGGGAAGGATTCTCCAGCTTTGCTGGTACCTTCCTGGGGTAATCGTTTTTTAGGTTCTGCCATGTCATCATGTTTTTCCTTTTTTACCCGGGTGAGGTCCCGCGGAAGGCGAAGAATTAAGACGAAGAAGAAGGGGACAGAAAGGATATAGGACAGGAAAGGAAACAAAACACAAAACAAAACGAAGGAAAACAAAACGAAAACCAAGAAGAAACTATGTACATATTTACAACCTAAACCTAACTATTTACAAATAAATAACTTAACCTAACTATATACACTATATACACTCCTACCTACTCGCCGGACTATCGGCCGACATAGTAGCAGTATCCCGAAGGAACGTCTACTATCCCGCCCAGGGCGTACCAGAACCAAACCATTGCTCGGCCACCGTTCCCCGCGGACGTATCCACGAGGATGGGGAAGCCTCCCAATGGCAGGCCCATACTTGGAGGTTGCCCGACACACGCCCCAATTACAACCTTTTTTTTTTTTTTTTTTTAACGAGGGGAAAGGTTTCAATACCGAAACGTCCGCCTTTATGAAGGGGAGCGGACGAATACTGTGGGACTGGACGAATCCGACCCACCAAAACCCCTCGGTGTTCCTCCAAAAACCACGAAAGACGCCTTCGTGCGGGTTCGCATTTGCATTCAACCGCACTCCGGCCGCGGGTCTCCAGTGAAGGAGCCGCCGAATGTTGGGCGCGGGGACCACTCCACGCCCACACTCCACGGATCACTCGCCTCCTGGGAACTTCGGATACCCCTACATCCTCCACTCCGAGTGTCCAAGTTGAGGCTTCGGGTGAAAATACACCTTCCGCCCCCCACGCAAAGGCCGCGATCGCCGCTGCGTTGCGCTAGAAGCGCACCGCAGCCGCGACCGCGTATAGCCTTCCCGCCGGACGGAAGCGGTCCTGAAGGCACCGCTCCGCCCGGTGCCCCGACGGGTCGGGGCGACATACGCATACTTACCTTCGGCGACGTACTCCCTGCGCCGTCAGCAGTCTGCCCACCAAGCCGCACCAAGGCGCAGCCCGGGGATGTCCTCCGCAGATAGGACTCCCGATCTTAACATGTTAAAATCGGGAGCTGCCTACTCGTGAATACTTACCCAGATTCGCGATGCGCCTCCGGGACCGTATCCTCCATAAGCACTACCGCGCCACACGGTTAAACCGTAGGCGCCGGTAGTGTTGCCTCCTTGAGTGTTGCCCAGCGTCCGAAGACGCCTAGCAACGATCCTCACGCCGCGTCGACTCCGTCGTCTGCGGGCGCTCCTCGCCCGGACGACGTCCTCCTCGTCGACAGCCGCGCCGACCGCCAGAGGTTTTTTATAGAGGTTGTCTCCTCGCAGCCCCGAGCGAACCCAGGGCCCCCGTTCTCACACTGGGCGGACGACCACTGTCATCACACCCAGTGCATGTTTACGGTATGAAGATACTCCACTTTCCCACCTATCTTCGGGATCGCAGCCCGCTCCACCTGCACCACTTCGACGTCGTCGTCGGAGTCAAGGTGTTGTGACTTTTCGACGACACGCCTCTTACGCCTAAGCCTTTTGGGCGACGTGCTCACCCTCAGGCAGTCCTCCGTCGTTACCGACAGGGAGTTGCGGCAGTCCTCCGACGCAACCGACAGTCCGGACTCCGTACACTCGGAGTCCATGCCGGCCACGTGGATTTCCAGCTCCTCAATCCCCTGTACGGCCTCGACGCACCTCATGACCTCTTTCTCCCACTCCCTCCTACGACTGAGCGTGTCCCCCCCAGAAGACGCGGGACAGCCCACCCCCGGCAAATCCGGTGCGGTGGGGGAGGATTCTCCGGCCGCAGAGCGACCGGTACCTCCCTGGGGTACTCTATTTTTGCGTTCAGCCATGCATAAGTTTTCCTTTTTACGGGTGTGGTCCCGACCTCCTGCCACGAACGACGAAAAGAAAGAGAAAGACAAAACCAAAAAGACAGAAAAGACAAATAGAAAGACAAAGACAGATAGAAACCAAAAACAAACTAAAACCCGAATAAATGAAAACAAAACGAAAAGAAGTAAAAACCCAAACAAAACAAAGAAGAAGAAACAAACAAAAAGAAGACTAAAACAAGAAGTTGGGCGGGTTCCTAACTCCGGGATCCTCGACTTTTGTCGAGGCATAGGAATCCTAAACCCGCCCAACCTGCCGGGCTACTGGCCGACATAGTAGCCGTATCCCGAAGGAACGACTACTATCCCGCCCGGGGCGTACCAGAACCAAACCATTGCTCGGCCACCGTTCCCCGCGGACGTATCCACGAGGATGGGGAAGCCTCCCAATGGCAGGCCCATACTAGGAGGTTGCCCGACTCACGCCCCAACCTTTTTTTTTTTTTTTTTTTTTTAACGTGTGGAAAAATCTTCAAAAGACCGTCACCTCGCCGGAGGGATGGCGAGGTGGTGTGTGAGTCTTGACTCACTAAAAACCACACGGTGTACCTACGAGCGCCTATGCCGGAGCCAGGGGATTCGCAAGTGCATTCTACCCCAGCTCCGACGGCGACGGCCCGCCCTGTAGATGTTGTAGGGCAGGCCCCATCTCGTTTTGTGGTTAGGGCGACCTATTTCGCCCTACTCCATTGTGGAGGCGTGTGGGTACACGCGCACACCTCCGGGGCCTTTGGATTGGGGGGACTGCCTCCCTCAAGGCAGTCACCCCGGCCCCAGTGGGGGATAGAGGGGGGCGGAGTTGGGTACGCCCCCACCTCTAGGCCTGGCTCTTCTGCGGCGGAGGGAAGCGGGACGAGCTGACTCCCGCTCCCTTTCCGCCGCCTCCTTCCGCGAGATAACTTCCTCGCAGAAGGAGCTCACCGCCAGCCACGATCTCTCGCTACTGATCATCCTCCGAACTAAATTCGGCAGCGAGAGATCGTCCCCCACTATTCGTGTGAGGACACGGCGCTCACTCTCGAACGCTGGACATTCGTCCAGCGTGTGTTGCGCCGTGTCCTCAACACCTCCGCACTCGTGGCAGCCGGTCGTCGGCTCCTTCCTCGCCACATGACACAGATACCGCCCGAAGCATCCGTGCCCGGACAGTATCTGCGTCATGCGGTACGTCAGTGGCCATCTCCTATTCATCCACCGTTTGAGGATGGGACGGACAGCCTCGACGGTCCTCAGGCCGGCCGATGGACTGGCCAGCCTTTCTCTCCACCTGATCCTGAGGATCCGCCGAAAGTCGGACCTCCGCGCTCCAATCTCGTGGCCAGCGGGTGCCTCCCCCATGGAACGTCGCTCCGCGCGCCAGTGATACACTGACGCGTGGAGCTCCGCTACCAAGTCCCACGGAGGAGACCCCGCCAGCAGACCCGCCGCTTCCCCGGATATGGTGCGGTAGCCTCTTATGGCCCGTATGGCCATGACCCTGTGTGGCCTGTTGAGGCAGGCCACATTTTCCCTACCAAGGGCCCCCACCCAGATGGGGGCCCCGTACAGGGCCATGGACCGCACCACGCCGAGGTATAGGCGGCGGGAACCTTCTCCCGGGCCCCTCACGTTTGGCAGCAGCCAGCTAAGAGCGCCGGCGGCTGCCATAAGGCGAGGGACCAGGTTCCGGAAATGAGCGCGGAAGCTCCAACGGCTGTCCAGGTCAAGCCCCAAATACCTAATACAGGGCTTGACCCCCACCCTCTGGCCACTGACGACCAGCTGGGCATCCGGAGGTGGCGCGCGCCGAGGCCCATGAAAACATAGGACCTCGGTCTTCTCCAGCGCCACCTGGAGCCCAAGCCTCCTTATTCGGCCGACGACCAGCGCCACGCTTGCCGTGGCAAAGCGGGTAGCCTCCCGTAGGTCCCGCCCCCGGGCAGTGACCAAGGTGTCATCCGCGTAACACACGAGGTCAGTGCCCGTTAAAAGGGCGCCCCGCAGGTTCCAATCATACCCGATGTTCCACAGGATCGGGCCCAGAACCGATCCCTGTGGAACACCGCGTTGCATTTCCCTCGACACTACAACGCTGTTCCGCCCCGTGCAGAGCACAGACCTGTCTTCGAGATAGGCCCCGATCACGTCCCGAATGTAGGGAGGCGCGCGATGGTACTGCAGCGCCTCCCTAATAGTCGCAAAGGGCAGGGTGTTGAAGGCGTTCTTAATGTCTAGAGAGACCGCCAACAACACCCCACCCTGGGACGTCGCCTCTTCCGAGAGGGAGCGCACACGCGAGATCGCGTCTATCGTCGAGCGCCCCTCTCGGAACCCGAACTGCTTCGGGCTGAGATCGGGACCTACCTGAGACAGGTGTTGGACGAGTCGGCCCGCCAAGATTCTCTCGAAGAGCTTGCCGATCTCGTCCAACAGCACTATGGGGCGGAACGCCGAGGGAAAACCTAACCTAACCTAACCTAACCTAACCTTTTTTTTTTTTTTTTTTTTTTTACAAGGGGAAATCCATCATGGAGACCCGCACGCCCCGGGGGACGCGTGGGGGTACTGCCGGACTCCTACCGGCTAAAACCCCTTGGTGTCCTCCGAGCGCTTTGGTGCCGGGGTTACGGGATCATGATGATATTCAACCGTAAACCCCGGCAGCGCGGGCTATTCAGCCCCACTCCTGAGTGGCGCGCGCGGACACCACGCGCGCCAACTCCTGGCCTCATCCCGCCTTAGGTGACAGCCGACGCCCCCGCATCGGCTGCCGCGAGGCCCGTGGTGGGAGGTGACGGGCCGGACTCGGCCTCCATCGCCTCCACTCTCGCCGCCTGTTTGGGCGGACGGCACCCCTTGGTGCTGCCCATTCTGTGGTCCGCCTTCTTCTTGGCCGCTGCACAGTATGGGCAGTGCGGCGAAGGGGCGGCGCACGATGCGGCCTTGTGGCCGTCTTGACCGCAGCGGAAACAGACTCCGCTGCGGTCCTCCTTGGCGGTGCACCGCTGGCCCACGTGACCCGTGAGCAGGCAGCGGTAACACCGCATCGGCCGGGGGTCTAAGGACCGCACCCGCGCCATCGTCCACCCCACTTTGAGACGGCCAGCGTCGACCAGCCGCTTCACAATCCCGACCGGGCATCGGACCCAAACCGAA